AAATTTCCCCCCCCCCCCCAACAAAACTAGGGTGAGATTAATTTAAATAATAAAACTTTTTCTCGTTTTTGATATTTGTGATTAATAGCAAATGCAAACAATTATATAATAATCAATAAAAATGATAGAATCATGAAAATATTTCAAATTTTTAATTGAAAATCTGTGTTAGTGAAAATTATTTCTTATGTGAATACTGGGACATCCCGGAAAACATTATAAAATATAATATAATTATTTTAATACTACGAAATTATGGATCTAGCATTAAAATGAACATAGAATTTATTTATTATTATTTTTTGGCTTTCATTCTATACCCCTCATTTTCAAAGCAAACATGAAATTGCATGGTATTCTACACCTCAGCAAATTTAAATGATATGAATTTTATTTTTTAATTAATACCACAATACTTTAATAAAGCTTTAACTCCAAAATTTCCTGCTCTCAATTGCGGAGAAAAAAAATTTCCCTGTGTTTTTCTTGTACACATTAAACACAATATATTACGGGGAAAAACACAATTATTGCGCTCTTGTATGAGAAAAAAGAAGTCAATGTTTCCTGGCTCGTACCCCCCAAACATCACTGGTATCAGAGCACCCATCCAGGAGGTGCACTCAACAGTCAGAGCAACCGCAAGGATCAGACGGCGATTACCAGGCTTACCAGCAGTCACCTTAAATCTCATTCTTTCGAGGGTAGCGTTAAAATCTTTCCAAATTGTCCCAGGTGCAACAACATGCAGGCTTCTCCCCAACATATCCTGGACTGGAGAAGAGGACATTTCAGATAACCCACTTTTGGTGGCCGACTTCCTCCGGGTCATGAATTTCATGGACATTGCTTAGCCCTGCTAATTTTGGGGATTAGGAAGGAGAAGATGAGATGTGTTGGGCTAACTATACTAGTTATAATTACTGATAAAACTTTAGGAAAAAAGGAACAGCTGAAAATACTTTAAACAAATAATGCTATAGTAAAAAAAATAGTTTAGTATAGCTGAAATATCATCCTTAAATATTCGATAGGTAGCACTTGAGTGCTCACCACTTTTAAAAGTCGAAAATAAGAAATAAAATTCCCTGTATTTTCACAGCTTATAAGAAAAAACTTGAAATTCCCTGCATTATCACTGTTATTTTAGGTGATTTTTAAATTCCCAGCATTTTTCAGAATTTCCATGTGGAGTGGTAACCCTGCCAATGCATGGTTGCTGTGATAAGTAAAAAGGAAAAATTAAAAAATGTCTCAGATGTTCGGTATTTTTTATCTATTTCCATAAATAGTGCAATAAGATAATATTAAAAATTTGTACACTGCAGCAAAAGGCATAATACAGAAATAATCACAAAATATTAAATAACCTTATCAAATAAAAACTTATTAAATGTACAGATTTAATACAAGCAATTATAAATCAATATATCTAAAAAATGTAGTACTTTCATAAATAAAGCTTGGTGAGCTTTCAGTCGATTACAAGCTGAAGCAACTGACAGAAAAATTCCAAACATTTCAGCCTCCAAAATGTTATTAAAAAGACTTCCAGCCTTTTCACTCATGACTTGTAGCTGCAATAAAGAAACAACTTCTTTAAGGAACAGATATTTTAATTGAAACTATTTTAAATCTTGTTTAGGTTTATTCAAAAAAATAACAAAGAAATAAAATTAAGTAACATGAGACAAAAAATAATTGAATAATTTAAAAAGCATTTATGGATCTGAGTATAAGATTACAGATAAAAGGCAGATGGCAAAAACATTAAATTTTTCAGGAGATTCCAACTGAATAATATTTTTACATTTCAAACTGCACTGTAAGTGTGTATTTCAACAAGTTAAATTTGTTAGGCTTAGTATAAATTTAAAGCTGAAGATAATAGTAAAATAATAATAGTAAAATAATAATAAAAAAATAATAATTGGAGTAAAATGCAAAAATCTTATTTTAATAAAGAAAAATCTGATATACATTATGTTATCATTTTTAAGCAGAGGAAATAAAAATCATTTTAAAGTATGAGAACCATTTTGACAATCTAAATTAACTAGCACTTTGGTATAACTAGCCTATCAGTTAACTGGAAATATCAGGGTTCGAAAAACTGCCCGTCCTCGGCGGTCAAAAATTCTCTGCGGACAACAAATTTCTCGAATCCGACGTCCGCGCGGATGGCCATTTTCCCGTTAAAGTTCGTGATACATTTTCAATTTTTGTTATCTTACAAGAGTCTAGCGCCTCACTTCTAAAATGACCCTCTAATCCAGAAATACAGCAACNCGGCTGTTTTTCCGTTAATATTCATGATACATTTTCAATTTTTGTTATCTTACAAGAGTCTAGCGCCTCACTTCTAAAATGACCCTCTAATACAGAAATACAGCAACATACATGGTGGAATTGATGTTTTCTCTGTCTGGGAGTACTGCAGCGGTTGAAAAGGGCTTTTCAGCAATGAACTTACAAAAAAAAAAACAAAAAACATTACGTACTGGTCTTAAACAAGAAGCGTTAAACGCAATTATGAACATCTACGTAAATGGAAAACTCCTTTCAGATTTCTGTGCAGAAACCTCTGTAAATCATTGTCTTGATTGTGGAACTGGCAAACGTAATATTCGATTCATTTAAAAAACACAGTACCGGATAAATTGACACTCCAGATAACTTGACCTTTGTCATTTAAATTATTTCATAAAAGAAATGCTAGGTTACTATTAGTAACCTAGTATTTCTTTTATTACTGTATATTGTAATCCTAGAAACTACTAATCCATTGTGCAATTTATATAAATGCTTGTAATAAATAAGAGAAAATTATATTTTTATTTATTTAGAAGCTACGGGTTAGTTTCAAAGGAGGACGGGTACATTGTTGGACAAGCCGTCCTCAGGGACGGGTAAAATATTTCTGAGTTTTTTCGAGCCCTGGGAAATATTCAATTCTGCTTTTAAGTAATATTTAATAAACTATTCTTTTTTATTTTAGAGCAAGTTTCTTCAGTTTTGGCGCTAAGTTATTTTAGGTTCTCTTAGGCTTTTGATGATTTATTCATTCCTACGCTATACTTGAATCAATGAACAAATTATGCCATAGATTGTTTTATAATATATTTTTGTCTCTGATTGCAGATAGCCCATATCCATAGGATTATGAGAATTTTCCAATCATGCTAGATAAATTCTATTCCACTATAATTTAGAAAAATGGTAAGCAGAAAAATTAAATCTTAAGATGGAAATTTATTATATTTAAATCTGGCTTCATTCTTTTGTCATTAATTTTTCTACGCTGGTCATTGGACAAGATTCCTAAGCCAACAGAAAAGAGCGTTTTTCTACACTTTATGAAAACATTTCATAAACTTCTACTTTCATGAACTACAACTACACTCTATGAAAACGGATAGCCTATAGATTATCTATGGAATTAGGAGAGTTTTCCAATCATCCTAAACAAATTTTATTCCTCCATATTTTAGAAATACGGCAAGCAGAAAAATTAAAGCTTAAGATGGAAATTTATTATATTTAAATCTGGCTTCATTCTTTTGTCATTAATTTTTTTACGCTGGTCATTGGTTAACATTCCTACGCCAACAGAAAAGAGTGTTTTTCTACACTCTATGAAAACAGTTCCAAAATAACTTTTGCTTCTTAAAATGAAAAAATCCAAAAATTTACCCTTATTTGTTTTATAAATTTACTCTTAAGTCAATTAATAAGCGTCATACATATCATATTAATTCATTTATTTTATTTTTGGTTATTTTATTAATATATTTTTAAATAAAATAGAAAATTAAACAAAATGGATTAAAACCTTTTTTTTCAATCAAAGTAAAGAACAGCAAAAATTATTTATTTAAAGATTGAGAAGTTATCTTACTAAAGTTGTACTTTTGACAGAGTCAAAAAACCTTTGAACAATGAAATTACTAATTCGATGAGTAATTAAATGTTCAAAACTATCATCAACGTATTTTGTCCACAATGTAGACTGAAGATCTTCATCTGACGCTTCAAACATCTTTTCAATAACAAATGAGGTATTCTTTTGTAGAAAAGCAACAGGAACACTGAAAAAGAAACAATTAGTGTGAATTCGGTAATTAACTGCATTAACTAGTGTATCAACTTAGACACTGTAAAATCAGTATTAAAACACTTAAATTGGTAAAAAAATTTTTTTTAAACACAGGTAAAACAAATTTCAGCAGATTTGTTTCGATTCAGCGGATATGCTTGGAATTTTATATAAATAAAATGAAAATACGAGTCTAAAGAAATTATTTTGTTTAAAAACTTCTATATATTTTACAAATTGCCCATATAAAAAAAGTTATTATTTTTTTTTTTTAAATATTTGAAATAAATTGCAACAAAAATAAGTTAAAACGGTATTTCTTTTTTAAATAAAATAAATGTTCCTTTCTAAACCCTAACAAAAACAATATTGCTTATAATTGAGCAATTTTTTTCTTGATTTATAATTAGCCAATGATTTCGTACCTCATAATGTATGTTCCCATTTAGACTTTTTTTCCACTATCATCAACAAAAATTTGCATAACAAGCATTTTTATTTAGTTTTTATTCATTCACTATAATTAAAATTATTTTGTTTTGTATTCATATAAAAACATGTGCAATCATTCTTACTATATACAATACATATCATTCTAGTAACATGCCTAAATTATTAACTAACAAATTATGAACTGCTTAACTAACAGAAAGAATAGGCTTTATATTAAACACTAATCAAGCAAATGCTTTTTTCTTTTCTTTTTGTGAATTATTAAAAATGAATTATTTAGGATCTATTCAACTTTCAGCAATAAACTTTTTCAGATCTTTGCTATTTAATTGAAAAATATTGAAATAAGGTTTGTTAATAAAGTTCCATTTGTCATGTTAATATTCCTTATTTGGTAAATAACAAAAATTAAATATGTAAGTTATTCTTACCCATTATTATCCTTTTGATCAAAAAGATTAGAGGCCAAATTCTTGATCAATTTCCTACAATATTTAGGAATTCTTTTACTCAGAATAGAAATCAAAGCTTCCACCACAAGAGCACCATAACTTTCACAAACGTAATCTAAGAAAAATAACATGTAATCTAAGAAAAATGTTGTTTTGTAAATAATAACATTACATTTCCTGTTAAGACTTTTCACTAATCCTGTGGCAGAATTTCTTAGGGGGTTTCTGAGACAAACCTCTCCAGCATTAATATCTTTCTGCAAGATACTTTTAATAATAACAAATATGTATGTTACTAATTTCAAGTAATAAAAGAGTCAACTTCAAAAGAAAAGAAAAAAACCTTTTCAGAAAAATTTTTAAAATTGAATACGGTTTNTACCCCAGAAACAGAGTGATCGCGAATTACCCCGGGTCACCCTACGTAATATTTTTTATTCTATAATTATGAGCGATTTTCTCGCATTTTGTAGGGAGAAAACACAGTAATTATGCCTTTTTTCTTTCTTTGTAAGTCATCATGAAATTTAAAATAGTGAAATCCATAGCAAAGTAACTAATGACAAAAAAAAAGATTGACGGCGAAATCACGTTAAATCTAACTCTTTAAAAAGATGATTACAAATGCGTGTTTTCATTTCAAGATTCAGCTGTTGTAATAAACAATATCAGATTAAAAATATCGGATTTCAAAAACTATGCAGAAATAAATAGCAATAACTGCCAAAAAAAAAATAAAAATAGAACAAATATTTCTACAAAAAAGAAAACCAAACTTTTTATTTCATTATTCTCAAATGAAAATAGAAAAATTACAAGCCGTTTTTCCCCACTCCAATGCGCAAGAATAGCATATAATTTTGAATATAATCCTGAAGAAAAGATAAAAAGAACAGACAATAAAACCAAAATTTTTTACTTCCCAAAGGAAAAGTCTTACTGCAAGAACTCAGTAACATTCTGCCACAATATTGCCGTGTCACCACGATTCAGCTGCGGGATTCACTAATCAAAACTAAATAAATGACAACAAGATAAATAAATGACAAACAATCACAAAGTAATTTTTCATTTTCTTTTCAAGATTTTTTTAAAAAAAAGGGGCCAGTCAGTGTTTTCACTACAGTACGAGAACCTTGCATATTTTTTTCTTTTCTCGCATTAAAAAATGATTAACGCGAGAAGTTCGCACACTCTATTAATCAATTTTAAAATGCAGGAATCTCTCATATTTTGGAAAAAGCTTCGTTTTATGCCATTTTGAAAAAGACATGAAAATAGCTACGGCAAGTGTTGAGAAAAAAAATGAGTCCTGTATAATAAGTTGTTTAAAGTTAGCTCTATTTTTAGCTGTTAATGAATTACCAAACTCCCTCATCAACAATTTACAGCAATTTGTAAAATTTGAAGTCTGTGAAGACTATGCTGGAAGACCTAACAAGAAGTATGAACATGGAAATAACTTCAGCGAACTTCACTATTCTGTAACAGAAATAATTCAAAATCCTATGCTGGCAGATGTAGAGGATAGGAAAGCGTGTGTACAATGCTACAAATTTAATTAGTGATTCCGAATAGTTCAGCACCTGTTTCAAGGTCATTTAGCACCCAAAACCAAATTAAAATAAAATATCGCAACAGATTGACTGATGAGCATTTGAGCAACTTAATAAGAACAGCTGATGAAAAAGTAGACATGGAACATTTTCCATATTCAATGAAAATATTCAATGGTGTAGAAATTAGAAAATGTTAGAAATGTATTATAAATTTAAGAATTTTTTTTTTTTTAATTTTTAGAAATCTTACTTAACTTTTTGAAATCTCACCCTGTTTTTGAGAAAGGGTGAGAAATTCTCTCCCATTTTTCTTCTGTAATGAAAACACTTAGTCAGCACTTGATTTATTTCTAAAGTTTTCTTAATGATTTGGCAATTTATATATTATTTTGATGTGGCTATTCTAACTGTAACTTTATTTATTTTTCTTTTCGTGGGCATTTCTTATGTCTTATTTTGTTTCCTTTACGTCTTACTTTAAGAAACAAAAAAGACTTGCTTTGTGATTGTATGCCCTTTATTTATATTTGCATTTACATTAAAATTTTTCTAATTGCTTTTTTATTATGGGGCCTCGGGGCACTGTCAGTTTTTGGATTCCCCACTGACAACTGAAAGGCTCCTGTGTGTTAGCAGGCGGTGTGTCCCCTAATGAAGTGCTTTCCTACTAACACACATATCTTAAATTTTTTATAATTTTCGTTTTCTGCTAGAATTGTTTATCCGACTTCATAAATTAAAATAAAACAAATTTGGATCCAGCTGCTTTAAGCGCTTTTCCATTTTGATTTATTATTTTAAATGTTACTTACTTATTTTGTTTTTTTCTTCTGAATTTGTAAATTAGTTTCATTCTTTGATTAGATAAAACACATCTAAGTATCAATAAGGTTGAAAATAAAGAATTCATTAAAAAAAAATTTTACAAATCCGAAATATATATAAATAAAAAAAACATCAGACTTTAAGGCCCCTTACACATAAATTTATTTATTTTGCGAGACTTTTTAGACATTTTAGTTTCATTCCTGACATTCCCCTGATTTTTCCCTCTTTTGATGCTACCTGAATAATATTAAATAAATAGATTTAAAAAAAATTCTACATAAAAAAAAATACAAAAAACTGAATCTTAAACAATTTTGTAATTTTTGTTGCAATATTCAGGATAATTATATTTTGATTACAAAATTATAACAAGACATTTTAAGGTAAGAAAACATTTTACAGAAAAAAATCAGAATTTTTTTTTTTTTATAGCTTATATGCTTAATCTGATTTACTTTTCAGTAATAAGATTTTCTTTATTTTGTCTTGTGGAATTCTTAACAAATAATCTTAAACTAAATTTTGACAACTAATAATCTTAAACTAATCAGGAATCTTAAAAACATAATAAATAGTAAGTTTTCTAATTTTAAAGTTTCTATGTTTTAGCTTTGTTTATATAGTAAGTCATTATCAATTGAAATAAATATAACTGCAAAGTATATATGTTTTTAGACAAACAGGTATTTATTATGTATTTTTGAAAACAACAAAAATTTCTAATGCTCATTTAGTAGCAATAAAATGAGGAAAGAAAAGCAAATTAATTATTAATTTTGACTTTTAATAATAGCAAACATTATGCTAAAAATCAAGGTTAATGTTAAAAACACAATGTTCTATTCTAAAAGAATCTCTCATAACAGTATTTAGCTAGTAACAGTAATAATTGAAAGAAAATATGACATATTAGAAGCATACAAAGGATGATTAGCCAGTTTTAAGACTCAGTTGAAGAAAAAAATGCAACAATGACTACCTGCAATGTTTTCAATTTTGCGTACTAGTTTAGACAAAAGTTTCAGTTTTTCTTTAAACTCCTTTGGAATGTTTTCTAAAACAATTTCTTCTATAGAAGAAGTACCATTAGAAGAAGCTTCATCTAAATTGAGGAGAAAGAATTAAAAATAATGAGTAAATACTTTTCTGTGAACATCTAAATGCAAACAATCATTACAGTTTTAATTCAAGGTTTGCATTTTGCCAGAAAGAAACATGTTTCATTGAAACATATTGACACTGGCCGATATTGAAGTGATGTGGACATCGGAAAAGATTTGAAAAAAAAAAAAAAAAAAAAACCAGGAAGAAACACGACAAGCTGGAAAAAACAATTAAATTATTAAATTAAAAATGACCAATATGATTGTTAAAGAATAAGTATTATAAGATAAGCTTAAATTTAAACAAATTTAATATTGTGTAATTTATAATTGTGCTTTTCACATCTACTATAAAAAATAAAAACTTCGTACAAATGATTTACTTTAGTTTACATAATTTGAAAATTTATATATTATATTATTTAAGAGTTAATTTGAGTATGGTATTTACCAATCAGAAGAATCAAATACTTAACATTATTCGATTATAAAAATTAGAACGTTATTTGTTCTTGTGAATTTAATGTCTATTTTGTAGTAGTATATAATTTGTCTATTTAGTAGTTTTAATAAATTTTGTTTACATTTTAACAGTTCTTATCACAATTAGAGAAATAGGTCTTACTATTCAAACACTCCTTTCTGTAAAATAAAGAATTATGGCTATTTAAATTTTTTATATCCGTTATACTTATTTTCCATTCTAATTGCTTGTTAATTTTCAGCAATTTAATGATAAATAAATAACCTAGAAATTAACACTATTATTACAACTACATTACAATTATAGATTGTTAAAATATAATTTTAATATTTGATATTTCGATTTGAAATAGAGTTTCCTCCATTTCTTCTACTTGGGTTTGAAGAAACTTTCTGCAGTAGTTCTTTCCACAGTGGAAGAAACATTTCATCTGCGTTTTCAATACTAGTATTTATGTTTTCTTCATACTCAAAGTTATTCATGCCATTATTGATGCAGTAACTTTGTATTCTCTTCAGGGGTCTGCCTAGGTTTTTTTTTTGATGGGTACCGATTTTGTAAAAATTTAGACATAATTTGAGAAAATTAAAAATTATATTAAAAAATCAACACAAAAACATGGTAAAGTAAGAAAATATTTTCAAAAATTGTTACTACAAATAAAAATCATTTATGTCTGCTAAATTTTTATAGACTTTTTCTCATATATTCAAAAACAATTTTGCTACTGTAAAATTTTGAGTTTAAAAATTGCATTCAAATTGAAAAATCATTGTCCATCGTTAAATCTTAACTTGAATTTAATAAAAACATGCATTTAACAGTAGCACTTAAAGCTATTTTCATTATACCATTTTTGACTAGCTTATACAGAAAAAAATTTCATTTGGGAAAAAAAAAATTTCTAAAAAAGAAGAAAAAAAAAGGTTTGTTCGAATAAATTTACAATAATGTTTGAATTTTGACTTCCTGTTAAGTTTATAGAGGAAGCGTTGAAATGCGTAATTCAGCCGGAATTTATTCTTTTTTGCGGGAATAAAAAAACAAAATTTTAAAGGGTAGAGAGGAGAATCTTAGATTTTGCTTTTTCAAAAGTACTTTCTTAAGCAGAATTTGTGAATGTACCGCTAAACAGTAAATTTGCCTGGGACAGACCTCTGCTCTTTGACTTATGAACTTTGAATTTTGGGTGAATATTTAAAGAAAAAATATTAATATTCAAGAACTATTATTTTCTTTTAGAAAAAAAAATATTTATCTTACCTAAAGAAACACCTTTTTTAGTTTTATTCAGTTTCTTGCTCATATCTCCACCCAAAGCCCTGATAACACTGGTTGCTATGTGAGCAGCATACTGGTTCTCAAGACAGTCAGTGAAATTTTCTAGAATAAAATTTCCAAACTCTACAATCCAGGTAAGGAAAAATGACGTGTTATCATTTGTTTCTAAAACTGATGACGAACTCTGAAATAAAAGTTACAATTATATGGAAAACTTTTTTTTTTGCATAGAAATGAGAACTAAGAAAAGTAAAAACGAATTAAAACTGGTAGATAAATATATTTCTTATAAAAACTTGTTACAAATATATATATTAGAATCCTTAACTATCAAAAATAAAGTAAAACAAGAAAATACATGGAGAGCCACAAACTAATAATTAAATAGCGTAAAGTAAAAAAATATTTTCAAAAATTGTCACTACAAATAAAAATTATTTTTGAGTGATAAATTTATACATGTTTTCCCCCACATGTTTAAAAATAATTTTATGATTGTAAAATCTTGAGCTTAAAATAGTATCCAAATTTAATTGTTCCAAAATTAAAAAACATTGTCTTTAGTTAAATTTCAACTTGAATATAATAAAAATAAAAACATGCATTTAACACTACTAGCACTAAGAGTTATTTTCATTATGAGAACATTTTCGACTAGGTCAGAAAAAAAAAAATGTTTCACAGAGAAAAAAAATTTTTTTCATAAAAAATAAAGGTTTGTTAGAATAAATTTACAATAGTGTTTAAGATAATGATCGAATTTTGACTGCCTGGGAAGTTTACAGAGGGCTCATCGTTTCATGTAAAAAAACTGAGCAGAAAATAAAGCTCACTTTGATATGCGTAAACGACCAGTTAGGTTTACCATATTGCACTATTTGACTAAACATGTGCTACCTTTCATAAAAGTTAGCTGGCAAAGTATTTTGTGAAACTACCGCTTTTCCTAAAGTTTGAATTTGTGAAGGTACCGCTAAACGGTAGTAAATTTACCTTGCATAAACTATTATTATTGTTTGCCAAGATAATCTAAAGGGAAAATGTTTTGCTAGTCTAAAACAAAAATTTATATAAATTATTTTTGTCTTAACTAGGTTCATATGTATATATAGTTTTTACTTAATAAAATTGTAAAAATAATATTAACAAATCCTTTTTTTAATGTATTTAAAATCAAATCAGAGTAAATTAATAAAAAATTAAATAAAATAGGTATTTACTTTGATATTTTTAAGTGCAAATTGAATTAAGAGTTCTACTATGTGACTTGCACTTGGATTAGTGCATACAGTTACTTTATCATTTGAAAATGATGTCATGAATTGTCTCCACATGCCAACATCTGTACAAAATGAGAGCAATGATTCAATGCAACGGCTTGTGCTGTGATGACAGGACAATTCTATTTCTTTTCCTTTAGACTCTTCTAAGGCATTTAAAACAAATAGTGCTAAAATAGGATAAAAATTCAAATAAGTTTAATGTAAGCATATTATTAATATTTATTTTAATATAATCATTTAAATAATAAATTAAAATAATCAAAGGGATCAAAGGGTAAAATCAATTGGAATAACAACAGTAAATAGGAATTCAATTTACAATAGTTACGAAAGAAGATAATCAGAATTTGGTATTAATTATATTATTTCAGATATACTGAGTCTAATTTAGAGAAGAAAATGGTGTAAGCATTTAAAGAATTCAAAGTTATATCAAAATTTATATCAACTAGTGAGGTTAAAATCGATACAACTCTACTTATTCACAATGAATGAAATGTTCATTAAAATTAATGCATTTCAAAAATACTATCAAGGTTGGGGTTTTGGACGTCCTAAACTTGTTTTGGACAGGACACATGGGTTTTACTGTCTCAAAGTGTCCAAAACCTTGAACATTAGTAAAAGGTAAAAATTCTATATGTGTAACCATTGTACACTTAATAATTACATATATTAATAAATATTTAATACTTTTTATACAATTAGCCAGGGGTCTGTCCAGACATTTTCTGAAAGGTCCGTTTTTGTAAAATTGTGAAAAAAATTACTCGTAATTTGTGAATATAAAATAAATGTTAAGTCACATTTTATCAACCAGGGTCTGGCTTTTATGAATTTGTGCAAAAAGGATCCCTATTGCAAAAAAGTCTTTCAAGGAGTTTAGAAATTGTAAATAGATACAAGATTGTGCTCAACACTGTAAAATTATAATTAAAAAAAATTAAATATTAAAAAATAAACAGCAATTGCTGCTACTAAATTAGAGATGCAACATACAAATATTTGGTATTTAGCCTATACTGCTGAACGCAGAATATTTATTTTGAACGAATAATGGAAGAAGCGTCTGCCGAAGGCAAAACTTAGTTCGTTTACACCTGTCTTTCTTCCCTTCCCACCTGGGAAGGGTTTACTCGACTAACAAAACAATAATAAAGAGAAGCAAATTTGTGACGGGACCGATTAAAAGACAAATTATTTTGTGAAGGGTCTGTTTTAAAGGTAAAATATTTTGTGAAGGGTCCATTTCTGAAGTAAAATATTTTGTGGAGGGTCCGCTAACGAACCCAAATTTCTTCTAAACAGACCCCTGAATTAGCTTTAACTTAGTAAAGGAATATAAGTAACTTTTGAAGCTCCACAATTCAATGAACAACAAAAGCGAATACCTTATCCTTTAATTATAAATAAATAGTAAATATCTTATTCCATAATTACAAATAATGCAATATTTAAAATAATAGTAGACTTTTTAAATAAAACAGAAACTTGTCTTCATTTTTCCTTCTCAAAATTTACCCTTTTACTTTTCACAATATTTCTTTAAAATTGTGACATCATTTGAATAAAAGGGTTTTGGACAGGACGGTTTAAACCGTGGATTAATCCATTCTGTCCTTAAACCTTGCCAACTCTGAATACAATATTGATTCTTATGAAGTTCTAAAAACTGCATAACTCAGAAAAAAATCGTGTTATTGCTATTTAACTATAACATTAAAAGGAGATAAAACCATCATTTCTTGTAATACCTCTATCTTCATCAGGCACACCACTTTTCAAAGTGTCCAAAATTTTTTTAAAGTAAACAAATTCGTGGACATCAGATTCAGGAATGGAACTTTCAGGATCATTTTTATCAAAAGATGAATTATAGACTTCTTTAGGAGAAATGTTTATACTACTTTTATCATCAGATTCTTTCTTGATTAATTTATTAGCATTTCCTTCGTATATAATCCCTTGTTGAAATTTTCGTTTCTTTCGGTTTTTGCGAGAAATAGAATCCATTATTTTTATAGGTAAAAGGGTAATGGGAGAAAAATAGTTCTTTCTGGTGGGATTCAGTTATCTTCTTCTTAAAACTAAAGTTAGTGAAGCGCGTTAAAAAATAAATAAACAATTTTAGATTTCCAATTAAAAGTCAAACACGCATTGGAGAGAAGACTATTGACAATATTGCGTAGTATACTGATGTTATACTTATAAACTGTTGTTAGATTATAGCTTACAACTTAAAATTAGCAACAGTATCTTTTGAAACGATCTTAGTAGCCGTTGCGGTTCTCACGTTAGCTTTACAAATCTGCGGTGGCATCTGAAAATGGGAGATTGCCAAATCTATTCTCTCGCCAAAATTAGCCCGATTGGCGCCAGCTGAGTTTGGCACGGGTGATTAGAAACCTGCAATCTACGGTATCCGTTGTGAGCAAAGTAAGCACAGAGAAATAAAAAAATACACCATAAATAACTCTTGAGCTAATAATCAGATCTTTACGTTCAACGACTCAATTATAATGGTTCGAGTAGGTGACCTCCAATATGCTAATTAATAAGGTTCCGCAGTGGACTGATCGTTAAGACACGGTTCCCATCAGATCACCGAAGTCAAGCATCACTGGCTACGGTCAGTGTGCGGGTGGGTGACACTTGGATCAGTCTGCTTAGGGACCGAGGGTGTGCGGTATGCGAACTGACAAAACATACCGTAGATTGCAAAGGGTTGGCGTTAAAGGAGCGTTCTCGAAAATCGCCAAACAGCTGTGTGCTTATGTTTTTGTTTTGTTTTCGGTATCGCATAACATTCAACAAGTTAAATATGGGTGCGACATTTCAATTAAGCGGGTCTTCATTTTATTCTTCTGCATCAAATAAAATATAAAGCGCAGAGCCGTTTTTAAGGATGGGCCTAGTGGGCCCTGGCCCAGGGCCCCGAGTTGTGATGGGGCCCCCGAAAAGTCTAAAATCTCATTGCATTAATTGTTTTTTTTATTTTTTTAATTCTAACTCATTTATTATTTATAACTCAAGAGGGCCCCCAGATCCCACTTTTTTTTTTCTTTAATTTTATTCAGAGATTTATTCAGATTATTTTTTCTTTTTTACATAGTCGGATGCTTTTCAAAATCTAATGGAAGTGTTTACAAATATTAAATAATTGTTATTCCTCGCTTTTCTAACCAAAAGAGCAATAAAACGCTTTTTCCACTCATGAAAATGTCCCCACTTTCGTAGCTACCACCCACAGAGTTGTCCAATAGCCTCCTCACTTTACACTGTGGGAAATGTTTTTAGCTTCTTAATATTGCCTAGGGGCTCTTTTTTCCTAACTTCGGAAATATCAAATATCCACAGAACCACCCTTTTGTTTGATTTCTGGTCATAAATTTCTAAGAAGAAAACATTTCTAAGGCTGTAAATAGGGGGAGGGTCTTGTTAGAATCTGTCTTGAGATTTCCATAGCGTCTTTAAATTGGGACTCGTTCAATTCAAATTTTTCACACTTGCAAAATTTAGAAATTTGTTCTAATTTATTATAAAAGCTTTTTTTTTCCTTTAATCGTCCTAAATGTTTCAACTAGCCTAATTGTTTCATTTATTTAATTATTGTAGTTGATTTAATTTTATTATTTTTCAAATCAATCGTAAGAGGAAAATAGGAATAAATAGGAATTTCTATATCAAATTTTCGTAGGATATTAAGAAGACATAAATCTTTCACGTTGGAGGTAAGAAAATGTTTCTATTAAATCAATTTTGGCAAATTAATTTGATTTTAAGGAAAACGTGAAAGGTTTGAGCATTTTTTTATATATTCATTGAGATATTTTTGTTTATTTATTTAAATGGCGGGCCACTATTCAATTCCCTCTTTGACTGGCCTGTTTGCCAAAACTCTTGATTTGGTCTGTTCTGGACAAAATTGATACAACAAATGTTATTTTATTTTAATTTTACTTACTGCTAATAGGCAGAAACAACATACGATTTTGTTTAATAGCTATTAAAGCTCTAGAGCATTGAAATCAAATGATCATCAGCTAAAAAAATTTTAAACATGAGAAAAATTGTTTGAAACTCCTGTATGACCAAATTTTCCATGTTTCCTCTAAATATGAAATTTGTTTAATTTGTAATATTATATTTCGCACACGAAATTAATTTATTTAGTTAGCTTACGATTTTATTGTTTATTGATCATATTTGTTTCTATTTTTAACTCCTTTTTGTTGCTATTATGTGTTTAAAGTTAGTAAGGCTTCTCAATTTTTATTAATAAGGCTTTTTAATTTCCTAATCAAAGTCGAAACATTTCTTGAAATTATAAATCGAAACTATGCATGAAATTTTGACAGCTTTGTTTTAATTTTAAACGTGTGCATTTAATTTAATAAAATAAAAATAAATAAAAAAAATGGAAAAAATATAAATAAATGACTGAATAAAATAAAAAACTTCGCTGTCGTATCATCTTTTAAATAATTTGAGTATTAATAAATTATTTAAAAATAAGCAAATTTTTAGTTTAAAAGGTAAAAATAATTTTGATTTGTTCAAAAGGTGTTTGTTCATGCTCCATCATTCGATCATGAGACTGTTTAATATCTGTTCCTAAGGATCAGAATTCTTTTTATTTTACTTTATTGTAAGAATGATATATACTTAATACTTTCATGTGATATGCTGCAGTTTTAAATACCTAAAAGATGATTGAAATTGTCAATTCAAAAATCAATTAATACTTAAACAATTAATACGTAAAAAAATAATTGTCGCAAGCAAATTAATATTAAGTAAGAACGAAACAAAAATGATATCAATATATGCTGAATCACTAGTGAGACAGGTGGGATGAACGACATCGAAACCAATTTGATTGAATAGTAAAACTAGAAGGTGTTTCTAAAATCCGGAAATCAATCAAGCTTCAATTTTTTTTTCTTTTTTTTGTCACGAAATTTATCAGGGGCTATTCGTTAGATTTCAATATGTGTTATGTTTTTTCATAGATTAAATATTAAACATTAACAAATATTTGTCTTTTAAAACCTTTCACTCTATAATAATTATTAATTCTATATTAATTCTATAATAATCTTATAATAATTATTCTATAATTGTAATTCTAAAACTAATTGATATAAAGCGTTAGTGTGTATATATTAAATGTCTTCCATCGGCGGAACCCCGACATTACGATTAAAGTTTATTAAGGTAATTACGAATATTATAACCTAAAAACAGACTATTTTTAAAATATTTAATTCGAGGAATGTAGATTTTTCCTCGTTTTACCATTTTCAATCTTAAATAAGGTTTTATATCCGACAGTTAAGTTTGCAGTCCTTGAGTTATATCTAATCTAGTTTTGAATAATTTTTGGTGTATATATATACATAAGCTGAAAATGAATAAGATAAGCCGAATTATGGTTTACTTCTAAATGAACTGATCAATTTGGAAAGCATTTTTCAAGAATGTTAAGTATCCAAATGACTTAATTTATTGAATTTAAAAAAAAATTTTAAAAAATATCCGCAAGGCAGGTTTGTATATTTGGGGCTGATGATTATGAAATCTAACACAAAACTGTGAGATCGGGGGCTCTATTCCAGCTGATGGCAGTTTTTAATTATTATTTCTTAATACTGAAAAATGTTTTTCGTATTTTTTTAAGTATGCATGTTAATAACTAGTAATTTAACAATTATTTAAAGAACTGGAAGGCTCCGCTACCTGTTCATTTTGCTCACTAACCCTCGTGGTTGCTTCTGCATTCATTGCAGGTTTAGAGGAAAAACGGTTTATTTCCCTTTTTTTCTACAAAAATTACGATTGAATTACCATTTACATTTTGAAGGTGATTAAATTTAAGTAAATCAATAAAATTGGTACCAATCAATAAAATTGGAAAATTGGTACCTGCCGCAGAGTTATTACTCAATAAAGTTGGACTCAAGGGATAGAGCATTCTCCTCCGAATGAGGTGCACCGAGTTCGAATCCCAGTGATGGCTGAGTGATATGAATTCCACACCCGGCTTTTACCGACCACAGTGCTGACGTGAAATATCCTCAGTGGTAGGCGGATAATGGATTAGAGTTCCCTTGGTATCAGACTAACCGTGGAAGGATTTCGTGGTTTTCCTCTTCATGTAACTCATATGCGGGCTTGTTCCATCAAAACGTCCTCCACGAAGGCAAAAATTTCTTCCACTACTTGATCCTGGAGTTCTCTTGTATGCTGGATTGGGTTCAAAATTACAAGGCTACGGAGTTAAACATTAGTAGTAGTAAACTCGAAATCGGTTGGGCGGCTCAATGATTGTTATAAAATAAACTAATAATTTGGCCACGATAGCTTGGTTTATGGTAGGGCTATGAACTCGTGTTTGTGAGAATGGGAGTTCGAACTGAGCCGGGCAAAAAATACCCAAGTATAAAATGGTGACTGGTGCATTTTGAATCTGTCGGGGTCATAAACTCCTCCAAGTTCTCTTAACAATTCAATACCTCTGGGTACTGATCCGGGAGTTTCCTTGTCTTCCGGATTGGTTTTAAAATTCCAAGGCTACGTAGTTAAACATTGGCTCAAAATTGAGCTAATGTTTAACTTTTTTTTATAACTTTCAATGGCGATTATAAAAAAAAAGGAAAAAAAAAAACTAATAATCTAACTGTATTTCCTTGTATTTTTTCTAACTCCTTGCATATTTTCTACACACCTTCATAATTTGATGCTTCTAAGTCTAACAGATTTTGATCTGCAAAGCAAAATGTATGTCTTACAGGAAATTGATTTTGATGACGTGATAGAAGATTCGCTTCTCAAAAAGCGCGAAAAGTATTGTTACCATAAATTTTCGATAAAAATAATGTATATAAACTTTTATAATTAATTTATATGTTTTTTACTCTTAAAATGAAATAATTTTCAAAAATTATGCAAAATAAATCTTTTTTTCTCTAAATTTACTCATAAAGGGCCCCTAGATAATGACAGGCCCAGGGCCCCTATAAACATAAAAACGGCTCTGGTCTATTTGAAAGAATTCCTTTTGAACAAAGCAACATGAATAGAGTACAAATACTAATAAATTGGTTTTATAATAAAGAAGCATTCTCATTGTGGAAATACAGACCCAGAAGAAAATAACACGAACTACTTATAATCCATTATTACCTGAATTTGGGAAAATGCTTTTATCACCGATTCAGCAGTTCTTAAACCACTTTGGTATGCCCCATGCGCTGACGAAAAAGCATGCACATCTAAAGCTTCTCCAGCAAACATAATAAT